CGGGATGCTCCTGCCCTGCAGGGACACTCATCCCCGGCAGACAGGGGCTCCCAGCTGCTCTTCCAGCCCTCACATGGAACCTGGCACCCAGCATGGCATGGCTGGCATGTCCCCTGTGATTGTCCCCTGGCTCCATCCGGCTGTGGGGTGCCAGTGGGCACAGGACTGAGGGTGTGGGTGCTGTGGTGGTGCTGGGTGCTCTTCCCTCCGAGTACAGAGTCCCCAGATGTCCCTGTAACCCAGGGCGGGGTGGCAGGGCCCCCAAAATGTCCCTGTAAACCAGGACAGGGTGGCAGAGCAGGATAACAGGGCACTCAGATATCCCCACACCCCAGGGCAGGGTGGCAGGGCCCCCAAAATGTCCCTTCACCCCAGGGCATGCGCATGTCCCCAGGAGAGGGAAATTATCACCCAAAAGGCTGTGAAGGAGGAAGCTCCAACCTGATACCACCAATTCCATCGCCCAGCTGGGCACCCATAGARATGCAAACGGTGTCACCGTGCCCCGCGGGCACCCATGGACATGCAAAACGCGGTCACCGAGCCCATCACCCGACACTGCAGAGCTGCAGGGCGGTGTCACCGCTCCCAGCCCCCACCCGGGACAATTCCCCGCTCCAGGCTCCATCCCYGCCCCGGAGACCCGGCCGGGATGCACTCGGTTACTACTGGGTTACACCGGCATTGTAAGGCTGTAGTTGCCGGCACGGCAGCTCCCGGTGCTGCTCTCAGCACCCAGTACTTGGTGTCCGTGGCGGATGGAGCCTGTCCCCTGTCCCTCTGTCCCCTGTCCCTCTGTCCCTCTGTCCCCTGTCCCCCTGTCCCCTGTCCCCCTGTCCCCAGGTGCTGCACACGGGGCTCAGCTCTGCTACCCCATCCCAGAGCCCCTTGCACAACCTGGCACACTCAACCGAGTGCAAGGGGACATCCCGTCTGTGTCCCCCACGTGCCACACGCCCCCGTGACCCTGGCTGTGACCGGSCAAAGCTCACCCGTCACTCGGTCACTTGTGTGCAGACTTTGCTCCGGGAGCCACGTGGGCTCAGGGGCTCGGTCTGGTGACCCGTGAGCCAGCCCTGTCCTCACACGGGTGTGACAATCCTGTGCCATCACACGGGTGTGACAATCCTSTGCYATCACACKGTGTGCCAGCCCTGTGTCCTCACACATGTGCCACCCTTGCACCATCACATGACTCTCCCAGCCCTGCAAGGCCACAGGAATGTCCCACKCCAGCCTAGTGCTGTCACCTGGAGGGTCCCACCCTTGCCGTGCCACATGCGTTTGGTGCCACTGGGTGCCTTGTGCCACCCTCGCCCTTGTCACACATGTGTGACATTGTGGCTTATCCTGCTCCCTCCTGTSCCCATGTGCCACCCTCRCCCTTGTCACACATGTTACACCACACCCTCTTCCTGCTCTTATGCCCGTGTGCCACCCTGGCCCTGTCACATGCATGTCACACTGCAGCCCGCCCTGATCTCATGTCCCACCCTGGTCCTGYCACACTGCAGCCCGTCCTGATCCTGTGTCCTGTGTGCCATCCTGGTGCTGTCACACGCATGTGTCACACTGCAGCCTGTCCTTATCTCATTGCCATGTGCCACCCTGGCCTTGTCACATRCATGTCACAYTGCAGCCCGTCCTGATCCCATGTCCCATGTGCCACCCTGGCCCTGTCACACTCGTGTGTCACACTGCAGTCCGCCCTGATCTCATTGCCATGTGCCACCCTGGCCCTGTCACACTGCAGCCCACCCTGATCTCATGTCGCATGTGCCACCCTGCCCTGTCACACGCGTGTCACACTGCAGTTTGCCCTGATCTCATTGCAATGTGCCACCCTGGCCTTGTCACACTCATGTCACACTGCAGTTTGCCCTGATCTCATTGCCACGTGCCACCCTGGCCCTGTCACACTGCAGTCTGCCCTGATCCCGTGTCCCATGTGCCACCCTGGCCCTGTCAC